AGGTTAGAATGGTGATGATCAGTTTAGTGTATTTTATACACTATACATACCTGTGACTAGTCTACTGATGTCTGTTTACCCTTTAGTAAAAGTTATTAATATTATTTAGACAGCTAAAATGCTACTTTATTTTATAAATGATCCAAAATATACACCAGTTATAATATATGGGTTCTTGTACAAAAATGCAATCCTATCTGTAGTAATTAAGAAAAAGAGTAAATATTTATCTCACGTAATCTCTATGAAAATAAAGGGAGAATGATTTTACAACAAATCCTTGAAAGAGGGATATTTGTCAGACAAGAAGTACTAACTGATATGTTTCATAGATGGTTTGAAGGAAAAGAAAAATGTCTTTGCAAATACGTGTTGTCTTTAACAGACATCAAAGAGAATCTCAGGCCTACATAAGGTGACCTCATGTTTAAATAAATATATATATTTCAATTGTAACCACTGATTCATTGGAAATGCAATGCAATACACCTGACAAGTGACTTTTATTTAAAGGCATTCATCAATGAATTGTTAAATCTGCCTGTTTAAATGGTGGATTACTACATGCAATCCAAAATGTTCATTTCAGCTAGAAAACATATGTAATGCTTATTCACTCATAAAAAGCATAAACATAAATACTCATATGCAATACACACCCAACAAATCTCTAAAACGATTAAACCCAGCCCTGTGGGTAAAACTCCCAGACAGAAACTCTCTGTTTTATGTTATCTGCATTAATAAAGTTACCAGCATTTTAAAAAATTTTTCTGGAGTGCAGCTGGTTTTTTCCTTTGGATTTGTAAGGTCCTGGGAATAACTTTTACAGTGCCACTTCTACTATATTCTATTGTACAACCCTATACATAGATATTAAGATTAATGAATGGATCTACAAATGTTCGTGATGTTATTTATTTGGAGATGGCCAACATATATTTCTTTTATTATTTGAAAGACTGCAGTGTTACTTGAAGTCATAATAGATAATATAATAATATTTCAGTTCACTGATCCCACCTGCATAACTTGCCAGTGATGCTTTACCCCATTTTCTTTAGTTTTTCTATTTGTTCAGTTTCCACATACTGGGGGGGATTCACTAAAACTGGAGCACTCAGAATCTGGTGCAGCTGTCGGTGGTAGCCAGTCATTTTCTAACTTCAGTTTGTTCAATTAAGCTTTGGCAATACAACCTGGAAACTAATTGCTTTCTCTGCAGAGCTTCACCAGATTTTGCACTCTCCGGCTTTAGTAAATAATCCCCACTGTGTGTGTCATAGTGGTTTTAGTAAAGAACACTGTCAGACCTCACTGTGCTAAACTACTACTTATTTGGTGTTTATATTGCAGACAGGCCTCAATATCATGAGCTACTTGCACTTGAACTCCTGCATAACCTGTACAAAGAATTATAGCGTTACTTTGTGTAGCTTGTAAACCAGCAGTCTCCAAACTTTCTAAATAAAGAGACAATTTACTGTCCTACAGACTTTGAGGGGGCCGGATTGTAGCCAATGGGAGTAGAAAATGCCCAAGAATTTGTTGGAGTAGACAGTGTTTCAGGCTTAGTGGTAGGAGTAAATAAATTGCACTTGTGGTCAATTGGAAGAGGAATAGTGCCCCATCATTGACATTAGTGGGAGGAATCATGCCCCATCTTTGGTGTCAGTGGGAGGAATAGTTCCCTATCGTTGGTGACAGTGGGAGGATTAGTGCCTCACTGTTGGTATCAGTGAAAAGAATGGTGCCTTATTGTTGGTGTCAGTGGTAGGAATAGTGCATTGTATTAGAGGGAGTAATAGTGCTCCAAGTGCTGGATAAAGGCAAGCAAAGGGTCACATTTGGCTCACAGGCAGCAGTTTGGAGACCACTGTTGTAAACTATGAAATCCTACAATCACCCCACCAAGTGTTAAGCTGGCTGTAGATGGTTTGAATCTTGGCCAGTTCAGCAGGGACTGGCCAAGATTTGAACCATGCATGGGCAGGCTAAATGTACCCACGTTAATTGATCATTCAACTTGGGTACAACCAGCCTGTTGGATTTTACATGCAATGATTAACAGTGGCTATTATAGCCTTTAGCTGCAATCACTGTGTTTACCCAGTGACAGGGGCGTAGATTAGGGGAGGGTCAGGGGGGTCTGAACCTCCCCCAGTGGAGAGTTTCCAACCATCCCTGCAGCCCTTGAAATTTTAACTCGCCTTCCTTCCACCCAGCTTTACTTCCTTCCACCCACCCCTTTCTTCCTTCCTTCCTTCCACCCTTCCTTCCTTCCACCCACCCCTTATTTCCTTCCACCCACCCCTTCCTTCCTTACTTCCATCCACCCCTTCCTTCCTTCCACCCACCCCTCCCTTCTTTCCATCCACCCCTTCCTTCTTTACACCCACCCTTCCTTCCTTCCTTCCACCCACCCTTCCCTTCCTTCCTTCCACCCCTTCCTTCCCATCCACCCTTTCCTTACTTCCACCCACACCTCCCTTCCTTCCATCCACCCACCCTTCCTTCCACCCACCACTCCCTTCCTACCACCCACCTCCTCCACCCACCTTCCTTCCTTCCTTCCTTCCTTCCTTCCTTCCTTCCTTCCTTCCTTCCTTCCTTCCTTCCACCCCTTCCTTCCAACCAACCAACCCCCCTCCCTTCCTTCCATCCACCCACCCTTCCTTCCACCCACTGCTCCCTTCCTTCCACCCACCTTTTCCTTCCACCCACCCACCCTTCCTTCCTTCCAACCACCCCTCCCTTCCTTCCTTCCACCACCCCCTTCCTTCCACCCCTCCCCTCCCTCCTTCCATCCACCCCTTTCTTCCTTCCACCCACCCCTCCCTCCCTTCCTTCCTTCCTTCCATCCACCCCTTTCTTCCATCAAATTCACCCCTGCCTTCCTTCCACCCTCCCCTCCCTTCCTTCCATCCACCCCTTCCTTCCTTCCACCCACCCATTCTTTCCTTCCACCCTTCCTTCAAGGGGGAGAAGTTGATGGTGGTGGTGGTGGGGGGGGGGGGGGGGGAGCAGTAAAAATGCAGCTCAGCTGCGAGCTGAACCCCCCCCAGAAATTTTTTTTATCTACAGCCATTCCCAGTGGGGCACTCTATCAATGGCCGGCTTTATATAGAGAAACTAGGTATGTTAACTTCCAAATCTACTTTAAAAATAATAGCATGGTCCTACCCTATTGTAAGTCTAATGATGTCTTTAGGGCCTCATGCACCAGACTCGGCATTGAAGGTAATACCCTTGTTGGTATAATGCATTTTACTGCACCCCACAGTTCCTGAGAGCCCATAGGGTGTGTCCTTATCCTCTCCCCAAAAACCTAAATATATACCTGCCTTCTATTTTGATCTTTATATATAACAGGAAGGAAGGATTTGTTACAGTCAAATTATTTCATACAACTCTGATATTTTTCCATGCAACTCTGATACTTAAGTAACTGAAAAAATGTTAACATAAAAAGTTTAAAACAAGTAAATATAATATGCTTTCCTATTTATTTACTAATGCTAGCAACTTTAGATTAAAAATAGTAAATGGTATTTGAGAGAGTGAAAGCAGTATTAAACCCAAAACCAAAAATGTAATATATTGCAGCTTACTAATCATTAGATGTGGTGGCTGCATTAGTATTAATTTTTAAGCTTGTTTCCCTCTGTTTTTACTTGGTGATCTGGCCATTAACACACCTCCTGTATTAGTGTCCCACTCTGGATCAAGGAGTAAAGGGGCCACCTTTGGACAGCAGCATTGTCAGTCAGGGGGAGGAGTGTTATATGTGCAAGCAGATTTAAATACACTAACATATTGAAGATGAACTTCAGCTAATACTTTATAATCATCTACAGCAGGGGTCTCCAAACGGTCTAAACAAAGGGACCTTCAGGTTTTTTGGGAACCTGACTGTGGTCATCAGGATCAGAAATTGTCCTGGCATCAGTGGGAGTAAACCATGGATCTTTGGTATTAAGGGGAGGAATAGCACCCCATCGTATCAGTGGGAGGAATAGTGCCCTATCATTTGTGTCAGTGCCCTATCATTTGTGTCAGTGGAATGAATAGCCCCCTATTATTGGTGTCAGTGGGAAGAAAAGTGCCCCATCATTGGTGTCAGTGGTAGGAATAGTGTCCCATCATTGTTGTCAGTGGGAGGATTAGTGCCCCATTGTTGGTGTTAGTGGGAGGAATAGTGCCCCATTGTTGGTTTCAGTGGGAGGAATAGTGCCCTATCATTGGTGTCAGTGGGAGGAATAGTGCCCTATTGGTGTCAGTGGAAGGAATAGTACTCCATCATTGGTGTCAGTGGGAGGAATAGTGTCCCATGGTTGGTGTCAGTGGGGGGAAAAGTGCCCTATCATTGGTGTCAGTGGGAGGAATGCCCTATAATTGATGTCAGTGGGAGGAATAGTGCCTTATCATTGATGTAAGTGGGAGGAACTGCATTATCGTTGTTGTCAATGAGAGGAATAGTGTCTGGTTGTTGATGTCAGTAGCAGGAATTATGCCCCAATGTTGATATAAGTGGGAGGAAAAGTGCCCAGGGGCCAGATAAAAGCAAGCAAAGGGCGACATCCGGCCCCCGGGCCGCAGTTTGGAGACCACTGATCTACAGCAACAGTTGTTTTTTTTCTTTTTTGGGATAAAGGTTTGCACAAATAAATAAAAGCTGATCATTGTAAGCACCCCTGTTAGTGGTAAATAGTTTGTCTCACCCCTGTAACTGTTACAAGTTGCAAGAGAGCTTGTTCTTTGGAAAAATAACAGACTTACTGGTTGGACCACCAGGTGAAAAATAAGGAAAGAAAGTCTAAAAAAAAAAACTAATCACATCTAAGAAATGGTAGGCTGCAATATGTTTGCTTTTGGGTTTCCTGCTTGAAGTTCTGCTTTAAATACGTTATATTGCCAAAAGTATTGGGACACCCCTCCAAATCATTAGATTCAGGTGTTTCAATAACCTACATGGCCACAGGTGTATAAAATCAAGCACCATACAGACTGCTTCTACAAACATTTGTGAAAAAATGGGTCACTTTCAGGAGCTCAGTGAAATCAAGCGTGGTACTGTGATAGGTTGTCACCTGTGCAATAAGTCCAGCTGTGAAATTTCCTTGCTACTAAATATTCCACAGTCAACTGTTAGTGGTATAACAAAGTGGAAGCAACTGAGAACAACAACAATTCACCCATGAAGTGGTAGGCCACGTAAAATGACAGAACGGGGTCAGCACATGCTGAAGCACACAGTGCGCAGAAGTCGCCAACTGTCTGCAGAGTCAATAGCTAGAGACCTCCAAACTTGGTGTGGCCTTCAGATTATCACAACAACGGTGCATAGAGAGCTTCATGGAATGGGTTTCCTTGGCCGAGCAGCTGCATCCAAGCCTTACATCACCAAGTGCAATGCGAAGTGTCGGAAGTAGTGATGTAAAGCACGCTGCCACTGGACTCTAGAGCAGTGGAGACATGTTCTCTGGAGTGATCAAACACGCTTCTCTGTCTGGCAATCTGATGGACATGTCTGGGTTTGGCAGGTTGCCAGGAGAACGATACTTGCCTGACTGCATTGTTCCATGTGTAAACTTTGGTGGAGGGTGGGAATATGGTGTGCGGTTGTTTTTCAGGGGTTGAGTTTGGCCCCTTAGTTCCAGTGAAGGGAACTCTTAAGGCGTCAGCATACCAAGACATTTTGGACAATTTCATGCTCCCAACTTTGTGGCAATAGTTTGGGGATGTCCCCTTCCTGTTCCAATATGATTGCACACCAGTGCACAAAGCAAAGTCCATAAAGACATGGATGAGTGAGTTTGGGGTGGAGGAACTTGACTGACCTACACAGAGTCCTGACCTCACTCGATAGAACACCTTTGGTATGAATTAGAGGGGAGACTGCAAGCCAAGCCTTCTTGTCCGACATCAGTGCCTGACCTCACAACTGTGCTTCTGGAAGAATGGTCAGACCTTCCCATAGACACACTCCTAAATCATGTGGACAGCCATCCCAGAAGAGATGAAGCTGTTATAGCTGCAAAGAGTGGGCCAACTCAATACTGAACCCTACGGATTAAGACTGGGATGCCATTAAAGTTCATGTGCGTGTAAAGGCAGGCGTCCCAATACTTTTGGCAATATAGTGTATATGGTTCCTGTTTACTCATTGCAACCCATAAATAATAATAATAATAATAATAATCTTTCATATCTTATCAACATAACTGAGATTTATATTATATTTGTATGTGCTAAAATCATTTTGGTGTATTTTCCTGAAAATATGCATTTGAATAACAGTTGTGCAAAAATTATAAGACACAAAAAAATGTATCTGCCGCTATTTAATTCTATAGAAACTCTGCTTTCAGAAAATTATAATAGAATGGGAGTGTAAGATATTCTCCTAGCAAAAAAAAATGCAGATTTTATCATGTGTATAGTAAAGTGGATAAAGTATAACTAAAGGCACTTTAGTTACAACACCAGTCAAGTTTTAATTGCTCTCTGTGACCCTGTTAGGAAGATTCACCCTCTCTATCTCTGTGATCACTGAGAGCGATAGTGAAAGAAAATCACAGATTTCGGGTTGTCACCAGGACAGAAATGGAAGAGAAGTCTTCTAATGGACAATATAGAACTGTTGATGCCTTCACTTTCCTCTCACTTCCTGTTTTGACTATGGGACAGGAAGTGAAGGGAAATCTCCTCAATGGTCAAAACACCTAACAGGAGTGATAAACCTCCCTTCCTTCAAAAATGAAAAAAAAAAGTTTTGCCTTTAGTTCTACCTAAAATTTTGAATACTGAAAGATGACTGTATTTAGATAGAAAACAGTAATTTTTCCACAGCATGATCTTGTTTTCTGCAGTACTTCTGGGACAATCAGCGATTCTGATTGGTCAGCACAGAGAATCGCTCTGGTCTGTCACTGCAGAAAGAACAGGGAGAAGAGGAATGGGATTTCAAATGCCTGGACTGCTATACTGGCTGCATGGGAACTGACGGCCCGTCACCCACTGAGGTAAGTACAGTGTGGAGGGGGATTGGTTGTCAGAGAACATTGCAGGGTGCTAGGTCAGGTGCCAAGTCCAGTGAAGAAAAAGCTGTTTTACTTCTTTACTGGACTTTGCCTCATATTATAGAGCGTGTGGTGCTTTCCTGGAGTTTGCCTCGTATTACAGAGCGTGTGGTGCTGTACTGGACTTGGCCTCATATTATAGAACGTGTGGTGCTTTCCTGGACTTTGCCTCATATTACAGAGCGTGTGGTGCTTTCCTGGACTTTGCCTCATATTACAGAGCGTGTGGTGCTGTACTGGACTTTGCCTCATATTACAGAGCGTGTGGTGCTGTACTGGACTTTGCCTCATATTACAGAGCATGTGGTGCTTTCCTGGACTTTGCCTCATATTACAGAGCGTGTGGTGCTGTACTGGACTTTGCCTTATATTACAGAGCGTGTGGTGCTGTACTGGACTTTGCCTCATATTACAGAGCATGTGGTGCTGTACTGGACTTGGCCTTATATTAGAGCATGTGGTGCTGTACTGGACTTTGCCTTATTACAGAGCATGTGGTGCTGTACTGGACTTGGCCTTATATTAGAGCATGTGGTGCTGTACTGGACTTTGCCTCATATTACAGAGCGTGTGGTGCTGTACTGGACTTGGCCTCATATTACAGAGCGTGTGGTGCTGTACTGGACTTGGCCTCATATTACAGAGCGTGTGGTGCTGTACTGGACTTTGCCTCATATTATAGAGCGTGGTGCTGTACTGGACTTTGCCTCATATTACAGAGCATGTGGTGCTGTACTGGACTTGGCCTCATATTATAGAGCATGTGGTGCTGTACTGACTTGGCCTCATATTACAGAGCGTGTGGTGCTGTGGCCTCATATTACAGAGCGTGTGGTGCTGTACTGGACTTGGCCTCATATTACAGAGCGTGTGGTGCTGTACTGGACTTTGCCTCATATTATAGAGCGTGGTGCTGTACTGGACTTTGCCTCATATTATAGAGCCTGGACTTGGCCTCATATTATAGAGCGTGTGGTGCTGTACTGGACTTTGCCTCATATTATAGAGCGTGTGGTGCTTTCAGCATCCACCAACATATTGTTATGGTGTTTTTTTTGAAAAGGTGAACAAACCCTTTAATCCCCACATCCAAAATGTAGTAAATAGCTTCCTCGCATTCAAGCTCTTTCTCTCACAGACGGCTACTGATCTGTTATTCTAGCAACAGACTCGCTGACTTGATAGCCAGGTTTTGTCCTCATTCCACCAATGGCAGCAGCAGGCTCTCCTCCTCTATAGTACAGGTACAGCGCCTTTCCCAGCCCCGCCCCCTACAAGCCGGGCCATCACCATGGGAACAGTACAAGCGCTGCATTCCGTATCCCTCCGCCAGCATGGCATGTTCTTGCACTTTATTCCTTAATATTCTCAAATACTGAGGCAAGAACATCACATAAAGTATTGAGTAAAGAACACGACGAGCTGACGAGGCTTTAAGCCCATTGGCTGCTCTTCCTCATCGAATAATGGGGACTATTTATCAGCGCGGATGAACACATCAATTGACGCGTTTGTTGCAGAAAAAGTTTGTTCCTCAGAGTATTGGAGAAGGTAAGAGACGGCAATGGAGTAACAGAGATTGTTATAGAACCGGTATGAGGGAGTTCTGGGGGTAGCGAGATTACTATAGAGCCTGTATGAGGGAGTTCAGGGGGGATAGAGAACATTATAGAGCCTGTATGAGGGAGCAGTGGGAAGGATAGAGAATATTATAGAGCATGTATGAGGGACCTCAGGAAGGATAGAGAACATTATAGAGCCTGTATGAGGGAGCTCAGGGAGGATAGAGAATATTATAGAGCATGTATGAGGGAGCTCAGGGGGGATAGAGAACATTATAGAGCCCGTATGAGGGAGCTCAGAGGGGATAGAGAACATTATAGAGCCCGTATGAGGGAGCTCAGGGGGATAGAGATTACTATAGAGCCCGTATGAGGGAGCTCAGGGGGGGATAGAGATTACTATAGAGCCTGTATGAGGGAGCTCAGGGGGGATAGAGAACATTATAGAGCCTGTACGAGGGAGCTCAGGGGGGGACAAAAATTATTATAGAGCCTGTACAAGGGAGCTCAGGGGGAATAGAGAACATTATAGAGGCTGTTTGAGGGAGCTCGGGGGGATAGAGATTATTATAGAGCCTGTATGAGGGAGTTCACGGGGTACAGAGGTTATTATAGAGCCTGTATGAGGGAGTTCAGGGGAGACAGAACGTTATAGAGCCTGTATGAGGGAGCTCAGGGAGGATAGAGAACATTATAGAGCCTGTATGAGGGAGCTCACAGGGGATAGAGAACATTATAGAGCCTGTATGAGGGAGCTCAGGGGAGACAGAGAACATTATGGAGCCTGTATGAGGGAGCTCAAGGGGGTAGAGAATATTATAGAGCCTGTATGAGGGAACTCAGGGGGATTAGAGATTATTATAGAGCCTGGAGGGAGCTCAGGGGGATTAGATATTATTATAGAACCTGTATGAGGGAGCTCAGGGGGATTAGAGATTATTATAGAGCCTGTATGAGGTAGTTCAGGGAGGATAAAGATTATTATAGAGCATATGTGAGGGAGCTCTGGGAGGATAGAGGACATTATAGAGCCTGTATGAGGGAGCTCAGGGAGGATAGAGGATATTATAGAACCTGTATGATAGAGATCAAGGGAGATAGAGAACATTATAGAGCCTGTATGAGGGAGCTCAAGGAGGATAGAGATTGTTATTGAGCCTGTATGTGGGAGCTCAGGGAGGATAGAGGACATTATAGAACCTGTATGATGGAGATCAAGGGAGATAGAGAACATTATAGAGCCTGTATGAGGGAGACTTTATGAAGGATAGATAACATTATAGAGCCTGTATGAGGAAGCTCAGGGAGGATAGAGAACATTATAGAGCCTATATGAGGAAGCTCAGGGAGGATAGAGAACATTATAGAGCCTGTATGAGGGAGCTCAGGGAGGATCGAGAAACATTATAGAGCCTGTATGAGGGAGCTGTGGGAGGATAGAGAATATTAAAGAGCCTGTATGAGGGAGCTCAGGGGAGACAGAGAACATTAAAGGAGCCTGTATGAGGGAGCTCAGGGGAGACAGAGAACATTATGGAGCCTGTATGAGGGAGCTCAGGGGGATAGAGATTATTATAGAGCCTGTATGAGGGAGTTCAGGGGAGACAGAGAACGTTATATTTTTTTTAAAAAAATATAAATATTTATTAATTTTTCAGATAAACAAGTTATACAAACATACTCATTAAAACCTTAACATATTATCAAAACATTTATCGTTTCATCCCCTCCCCCCACCTATATACAACCCCCCCCCCCCCTTCCCCTCCCATCCAATCCCTGACCCCTTCTGCTCTGCATTTTCCTGTTCATTTCTGGA